ATTGGAGTATGGTGGATCGAATTCTCAAGTACTTAAAGGGAACACCGTGCAAAGGAGTTTGGATGGAACGCAACGGGCATGCCGAGATAGTTGGATACTGCGATGCGGACTGGGCTGGAGACAGAAACGATCGGAAATCCACAACAGGATATTGCACATTTGCTGGAGGAAATCTCGTCACTTGGAAGAGCAAGAAACAATCGGTGGTTGCAAGATCTACCGCCGAAGCAGAATACTGCGCCATGGCAAATACTGCAAGTGAGCTAACTTGGTTGAAAGCTCTTCTTAGTGATCTTGGGTTTCATTCCAACAAACCGATCACTCTACATTGCGACAATCAAGCTGCGATTCACATTGCCACAAATTCGGTGTTCCATGAGCGCACCAAGCATATAGAGGTGGACTGTCACTTTATACGGGAGAAGGTGATGAACGAGGTCATTACACTTACATACACAAAGAGTGCAGATCAACTAGCTGATATCTTCACCAAAGCCACAAGATCTCACGTCTTAGACAAGCTTCTCGTCAAGGTTGGACTTATCCATTATACAACTCCAACCTTGAGGGGGAATGTTAAAGACGTTGAAGACAACATAGATGGCGGATCATCATCAGATGACCTGCACAACAAGGAACCTGCGAAATAAATGCATGAGCTAACCATCTTGGTGCATTAATGTGAAGATATCATGCAGCACCTCTTTATCATACAAATCAAGTATTGAAGACAGCACCTCATTAAATGCTTGTCATGCACACATGTAACAGCTAGTGCATTTAATACTTTGTCTCTAAGCTGTCCTATAAATATGTGTAACCTCTCACATTATGAATAAGAAGAATCCTCTGTGCTAAGCACAAAATTCTCTTCATTCTCTCTTCATTTTCGTCCTCACTTCATACTCTAAAACTCACATTGGATGCACTATAAGTATGTTTTGACGCACTCTCAAAATGTATTTGGATGCACTCAAAATGTATTTGGATGCACTCTAAACGTGTTTTGGTGCCTTCAAAATATTGTTATTTATTAATATTTTTTTAAAAAAATTATATAATAGATTTGCGACAGAGTGCGACCGATTAATTTTGTCGTAATGTTGCGACCGAATACCTACCGATATATTTGGTCGTTATGTTGCGACTGAGTGCGACCGATTTATTTTGTCGTTACGTTGCGACTGAATACCTACCGATATATTTGGTCGTTAGGTTGCGACAGAGTGCGACCGATTTATTTTGTCGTTAGGTTGCGACCGAATACTTACTCCTATTTCTGTCGCAATATGCGACAGATCTGGATTCACCGATTTGCGACAGATTACCGACATATAGACATCTGTCGTATATATGCGACCGACTACCTACAGATCTGTCTGTCGCAAAGTTACGACAGAATCACGACCACACAGATTTTACGACAACGATTTAGCGACCGATGAGTATCTGTCGTAATCGGTCGCAAATTTTTTTTACCGACAGATTCTTCTTCATGTTGCGACAGATTTTTCGGTCGCAAATTACAGTTTTTCTTGTAGTGAAATCAAGACGGAAGAGTCTGGAACGGACGGACCAGAAGTCCAGAACGGACGGTCCGCCGTGCAAGACCCGACGGTCCAAAACGGACTGTCCGTTCCAGAAAGTCTGGAACGGACGGTCCATGTGAGCAGACCGTCCGTTCTACGTGCTGGAACGGACGGTCCACGTGCATTTCTGGACCGTCCGTTCCGGGCTTCAGTTTTTCCGAAATTAAACCGGATTAGGGTTAAATCACTTTATAAAAGGGAGATTAAAAACCCTAATAAGGTGAGCCGACTTCAGAACACTTTTAGCAGTTTTTGGTGAGATCCAAAAGGTTGAGAGTGTGATCAAAGTCCGTTTTCTCGAAGCACAAATCGAATAGCGGATTCGAGTCCTAGCAGACAAGTTCCAAGCGTTGGAATCCATCCCGAAGTGTGGACACGTGTAGAGGGCGAGGTATTCTTCCTGCTTTTCGTGATCAGACGTGTTCTTCGATTGATACAGGCCCCAGATCGATTGAGGTAAGCGTTCTAACGTTTCTACGATTCAATAGCAGCATGGTTCTAGGGTTCTATAAAATTTTTGTTTTACTTCCGCTGCGCAAACCCTAGAATCGATCTCTTAGGAATAGGATTCGCTCTAGAGATCCCAGGAAACCCAACACTATGATGAACTGTTGTATGAGCTTTCTTATGATACATTTGATGTATTGACACTTTCTATGGTTTTATGGATAAGTGTTTGATTCATTACGTATTGTGCATGCTTTAATATGTTATGAAATCCATGTATTGTTAAGAACAATACTAAACTCCCTAGTCATATATCATTATGGGAACAATGATATACTAAGACTAGTATGATGTGTGATTGATGATCATAGGGATGATCATAGGTATTGGATACGATCACAATCATAGGTATTCGTTGGAGAACAGAATACTGGATTAACCCGCATGAGATTGTCACATGGACTAGCGTCATGACTTGAATCTCATATGACGGTTCCATGATTGGATCCTAAGACCTGAGATATTTACGGAATCCAATATGAGAAGTTGCGTACTTTGAATACTCAAACGTTCTGCGTAATACGAGGACTATAAAGGCGTGTATCAGGTACAAAAAGAATCATGTGTTGGATTGTAGATAGTCAAGACGGGATTTATACCTCTTGTAAAAGAGAGAGATATCGCTAGGCCCCTCGTGTGAGCGAGACTGTAGAAATGTGTGGCCGCACTATAGACGAAAGTCGTCTATTTCACACAGTTGAACTCAGTGAACGAGAAAGCAGTCGAATCAGATACGGTGGCTTGTCCATGCCTTATGTTCGGCATATAACATCGTGATACAAAAGGATCATCAACAGGAATCATCAGTGGCATTCGCAAGATCATGAACAAACTCTATTCGAGATAGGTAGTCATAGTGTCTTGCTAGAGTTTGTTGGTTTAATGCTCTATGATGAACTGTTGTATGAGCTTTCTTATGATACATTTGATGTATAGACAATTTCTATGATTTTATGGATGAGTGTTTGATTCATTACGTATTGTGCATGCTTTAATATGTTATGAAATCCATGTATTGTTATGAACAATACTAAACTCCCTAGTCATATATCATTGTTCCACAATGATATACTAAGACTAGTATGATGTGTGACTGACGATCATAGATATCGGATACGATCACAATCATAGATATTCGTTGGAGAACGGACTACTGGATTGTCCCGCATGAGATTGTCACATGGACTAGCGTCATGACTTGAATCTCATATGACGGTTCCATGATTGGATCCTAAGACCTGAGATATTTACGGAGTCCAACATGAGGAGTTGGGTACTTTGAATATGTCAAATGTCCTGCGTAACATGAGGACTGTAAAGACGTGTATCAGGTACGAAACGAATCATGTGCTGGATTGTAGATAGTCAAGACGGGATTTGTACCTCTTGTAAAAGATAAAGATATCGTTGGGCCCCTCGTGTGAGCGAGATTGTAGAAATGTGGGCCGCACTATAGACGAACGTCGTCTATTTCACACAGTCGAACTCAGTGAACGAGAAAGCAGTCGAATCAGATAAGGTGGCTTGTCCTTGCCTTAAGTTCGACATATGATATCGTGATACAAAAGGATCATCAACAGGAATCATCACTGGCGTTCGCAAGATCAGAACAAACTGTATTCGAGATAGGTAGTTATACTGTCTTGCTAGAGACCCCCTATGACTTGTATATCCAAAATAGAGATTTCAGATTATACTGCTATATCCTCCAAATCTGATATGGACGGGGAAGCGTCCCGCGTTGTCCTTTGTCAGAATTTGGGGTTGCGACGCTTATGTAAAGCGTAAGACGACTGATAAGTTATCCTCCAAATCTGATAAGTGTTTATTTGTAGGCTACCACCCTAAGAAAACTAAGGGTTACTACTTCTATATTTCGGCAGAGAACAAGGTGTTCATTGTCAGGAATTCGACTTTATGGAGCGAGAGTTCGTCTCCAAAAGAGTCAGTGGGAGTAGGATCGAACTTGAGGAAGTTCGAGAGCAACAAGTAGACGCTGAGCCGAGTGAACAAGTTGAAGACGTTCAACAAGTTTCATTGCCGGTTGTGACTCAATCTTCGACTAGTGAACCTCGGAGATCAGGCAGGATTCGCCAAGAGCCTTAGAGATACGAATTTCTCGTGACTGGGAAAGAGGAACTCATGTTATTAGAACATGATGAGCCTTCCACATATCAGAGGCTATGGCGAGTCCCGATTACGAGAAATGGCGCGAGGCTATGAAGTCCGAGATGCAATCCATGTCAGACAACCAAGTGTGGACTCTGGTTGATGCATCAGAAGGGATAAAACCCATCGGATGCAAGTGGATCTTCAAGAAGAAGACCGACATGGATGGCAACGTGCACACGTATAAGGCATGACTTGTGGCGAAAGGATTCCGTCAGATTCATGGTATTGACTATGATGAGACCTTTTCGTATGTAGTTATGTTGAAATCCATCAGGATCCTACTTGCCATAGCCGCATATTACGACTATGAGATATGGCAAATATATGTCAAGACCGGGTTCCTTAACGGGAACTTGACCAAGGATGTGTACATGACACAACCCGAAGGTTTTGTCGATCCAAGGAACCCGAGGAAAGTATGCAAGCTTCAGAGGTCCATTTATGGACTGAAGCAGGCTTCGAGGAGCTGGAACCTTCGCTTTGATGAGACAATCAAAAAGTTTGGTTTCTCACAGAACGAAGACGAGCCGTGTGTTTACAAGAAGGTCAGTGGGAGCACAATAGTATTTCTAGTGTTGTACGTAGATGACATTATCCTCATAGGGAATGACGTTCTTACCTTGCAAGACGTTAAGTCTTGGCTAGGAGCGCAGTTTTCTATGAAGGACCTAGGAGAAGCGGCCTATATTTTAGGCATCAAGATCTATAGAGATAGATCAAGCGACTACTAGGATTGAGTCAGAGTACCTACATCGATAAGGTCTTGAAACAGTTCCAGATGCAAGATTCCAAGAAAGGAACCTTACCGATGAAAAGTGGCACAGTTCTCTGCAAGAGTCAGTGTCCTATGACACCTGATGAGCGAGAACGCATGGATCGGATTCCATATGCTTCGGCAATTGGATCCATCATGTATGTCATGCTTTGTACTCGACTGGATGTATGCTATGCATTGAGCATTACGAGTAGATACCAATAAGATCCAGGTGAGTCACACTGCCTCGCCGTCAAGAACATCCTGAAGTACTTATGAAGGACTAAGAATGTGTTCTTAGTATACGGTGGGTCGGAAGACGTGCTCGCTGTAAGTGGTTACACCAATGCTAGTTTTCAGTCAGACCCCGATGACTACAGATCGCAGTCTGGCTATGTTTTCTGCTTGAACGGAGGCGTTGTTAGCTGGATGAGTTCTAAGCAAGTGACCGTTGCAGATTCTACTACAGAAGCTGAGTATATTGCAGCGTCGCACGCAACAAAGAAAGCTGTTTGGATCAGAAAGTTTGTTGGCGACTTGAGTGTCATTCCTAGTGTTGATATCACCATTTCTCTGTATTGTGACAACAATGGAGCGATCGGACAAGCGAAAGAACCCAGATCCCATCAACGATCCAAACACATACTCAGAAGACTTCACTTTATCAGGGAGATCAAGACATAGGAGACGTGCATATTTGCAGAGTGTCGACAGATGACAACATTGCCGATCCGTTGACGAAGCCTCTCCCTTCGTCGAAGCATGAGGGTCATGTTAGGGATATGTGTTGGTTTAGTGCTCTATGATGTACTGTTTATGAGCTTTCTTTAGATACATTCGATGTATTGATACTTTCTATGGTTTTATGAGAGTATTTGATTCATTACATGTTCTTGCATACTAGATCTGTTATGAAATCCATGTATCATTATGAATGATACTAAACTCCCTAGTCTTGTGTTGTTATGGGAATAACGACATAATAAGACTAGTATGATGTGTGATTGATGATCATAGAGATGATCATAGGTATTGGATACGATCACAGTCATAGGTATTCGTTGGAGAACGGAATACTGGATTAACCCGCATGAGATTGTCACATGGGCTAGCGGAATGACTTGAATCTCATATGGCGGTTCCATGATTGGATCCTAAGACCTGAGATATCTACGAAATCCAACATGAGGAGTTGCGTGCTTTGAATACGTCAAACGTTCTGCGTAACAGGAGAACTATAAAGGCGTGTATCAGGTACGAAACGAATCATGTACTCGATTGTAGATAGTCAAGACGGGATTTGTACTTCTCGTAAAAGAGAGAGATATCGCTGGGCCCCTCGTATGAGCGAGACTGTAGAAATGTGTGGCCGCACTATAGACGAACGTCGTCTATTTCAGACAGTCAAACTCAGTGAACGAGAAAGCAGTCGAATCAGATAAGGTGGCTTGTCCATGCCTTATGTTCGACATATGATATCACGATACAAAAGGATCATCAACCAGAATCATCTCTGGCGTTCGTAAAGATCACGAACAAACCTTATTCGAGATAGATAATCATAGTGTCTTGCTAGAGACCGGTTAAATCACTTTATAAAAGGGAGATTAAAAACCCTAATTAAGGTAGAGAGAAAAAGAGCCGACTTCAGAACACATTTAGCAGACTTTTGGAGAGATCCAAGAGATTGAGAGTGTGATCAAAGTCCGTTTTTCTCGAAGCACAAATCGAATAGTGGATTCGAGTCCTAGCAGACAAGTTCCAAGCGTTGGAATCCATCCCGAAGTGTGGATACGTGTAGAGGGCGAGGTAATCTTCCTCCCTTTCGTGATCAGACGTCTTCTTCGATTGATACAGACCCCGGATCGATTGAGGTAAGCGTTCTAACGTTTCTACGATTCATTAGAAGCATGGTTCTAGGGTTTATTAAATTTTTGTTTTATATCCGCTGCACAAACCCTAGAATCGATCTTTTAGGAATAGGATTCGCTCTAGAGATCCCAGGAAAACCCAACAGTGGTGATATACGCTCAACGCGGAAGAGGATGGAAGGCTGCCAATCTCGATCACCGGCACTCGCAAGAGGCACTCGAATTCGGGATTGGGTATGAGGGTCGAAGTGGAGGAGGATGGGATCCGAGTTCAATCACCGGCGCTCGAATGAGGCTCTCGAATTCGAACTCGAATCAAGGAGGGGAATGGATAAATCGAAGGATAGAAGGCTCGTGGACTCACCACAGGGCCGGCCTCGGACATACCAAGGCACACGAAGTCGGACACACCGATGGCTCGGACAAACCGAGCAAACTCGGACACACCGAGAAGCACTCGACACACAAGGGTGGAGAAGAAAAAAGAGAGTACTCTTTGATTAGCAAAACAAATCTCCCAATTACAAAGGAGTTTCGAAATTTATAGAGAGATGGCTATTAATGGTGCTTAACATGCACAAGAGGAGCCTAACATGCATTTAATGTGGTGGTTGGAAGAATATAGCTGTTGGGACTTTGCTTGCAGCTCAAGAAGCTTCCTTTTGCATGTAGGGTTCGGCCATGATGGTGAAGATGTGATGCAGGCCATGTCGGGGTGCGTCGGCCTCGTCTTTGTCCCGTATCCCGCTCAAGACTTGATCAACAATGCTATATAGTAGTTGGCGAAGGGCTCGAGTTTTGGCGCGAGTGATTGGTGGCTCGGCCTTAATGTATGCTCGTGGAGCATCCTTCGCGTGATGGTTGTTGTCGAGCTTTGCGGGGTCAAGTGATCGTGTAACGTCTTGATCACTTGATGTTTCCAAGAGTTGGTCTTCGGTTGATTGCTCCGAGAAGTCCGTATTTACTCCTAGCTCCGTGTGTTCCCGCTCCGCTACCAAATGCTCCGGCTCCGACTCTAAGTCCACGTGCTCCTGCTCATGCTCCGGCTCCATGTCCTCATCACATGGACTGCCTTGAATTACAATTTCCACCGAATGGCGAGTAGAATCTTTTGCAGACGACTTAAATACGCGACGGGGTATTGTAAGTGGCAGAGTGGCCTTGCTGCAACGATCCACTGAGATTCAGCCCTTTCTTTGAACGCGGAAAGGCGCAGGAGCAAAGAATTCATATACGTGGCAAACCCCACAAGAAAAACCGCGAAAAAGGTATTGAAAATACAACTTACCTATTTAATGATGCTGATTTGGATCCTTTTGATACAGGTAAGCAAGTTTTGAGGACAAAACCTCCAGAAGAGGGAGGGAATGATGAGGACATGGAGCCGGAGCATGAGCAGGAGCACGTGGACTTAGAGTCGGAGCCGGAGCATTTGGATGCGGAGCGGGAACGCACGGAGCAAGGAGTAAACACGGACTTCTCGGAACAATCAACCGAAGACCAACTCTTGGAAACATCAAGTGATCAAGACGTTACACGATCACTTGACCCCGCAAAGCTCGACAACAACCATCACGCGAAGGATGCTCCACGAGCATACATTAAGGCCACAACCAAACTTCCGCAACACGAGACACACAGACAAGAAGTTGGGATCAATGCCGCCGGACTCAAGGACTACATGTTAACCAAGGAACATCTAAAGTGGCCGCCCGATAAGCATACGAGTCTCATAGGCTACACGTTAGGTTCTGCAATGTCATCGTGGACTTTTCAAGTATGGCTTCCTTTGACATTTTGTCCAAGTTTTTCTCGGTTTCTTTGGCGGTCTCTTTTTGGTCATCCTCCGCTTTTTGAGGTCCTTTTTCAAGTATGACTTCATTTTCCTCGGTCACCACTAGGGATTTGTCCTCTGAACCATCCGTCATAGTCATTTCTTGATGCTCGAGATATTCATGTTCTTGTTCCCTGCGCTCGTGACACATGGTCGCACAAGTGAGATCAATACACGAAAGAATGAATTCGTTACCTGGTAGGATAGTCGTTGCTTCCTCGTGTTGGTCTTTGTTATCCTTCGTCTTGAGCTCATCTTCGTTTTCCGTGATTCTTTCTCTGGTTGGCGTTGCAGCGAATACATTTACCGATTCGAAAGGCTTCTTGTTGATTTGTCGCTCTACTTGAATCGCCGTATGCACAAGATGTCCCAAGTCACGGTACACTTGTTGTTTTACCTTTCTAGCGATTTGCCTTTGTAAGCCCCCTAGGAAGTGCTCCATGAGACTTTTTTCATCGTTGTCGATTCTTAAGTATGCAACGAGCTGCTCAAATTCTCTGTAGTAGTCCTCAACCGTTGTGTCTCCCTGCATGATGTTATCAAATCTATATTGTAATTCACGGAGACAATGTCGGGGTACATACCTTTTCCGCAGGAGGATTCTCATCTCTTTCCAAGTGGAAATCGGATCATAATGTGCTCGTCGGTTTTCGATCTCCTTTTGTTCCCACCACAGGAGAGCATTCTTCGCAAGATGGGCAGCCGCGTATTGGACCTTTCTTTGGTTCGACCAGGAGTAACACTCAAAGATGTCATTCATTTGCCGCTCCCACTCGAGGTAGACTTCCGGGCCTTCTTCTCCCGTAAATAAGGACGACTTAGATTTCCGACCAGCCCTTAATTCATGATACGGGCGGTTGTTTGAGGCCCTCGCAGATTCGATGGGTCGGGTCTCCTGCTCAAGTCGTGTGAGGCGTTCTTGAATCTGTTGTAACATTTGAAGCATAGCGCTTTTACTAGATTCTATATTCGCTCCCTCACGTGACTGTTCGTGGTTACTCATGTCACTAAACCTCGCAACACACAATCACGCAGCAACCAACGTGCAAGACAAACACTTAGGCGCTCAACCTAACGCCTAACAAACACGAATACGTGCAATCGAAGCAAACAGATCGTGCACACGTGTGATGCAATGCAAGTGTCGGAATGTAATGCATTCATAAACCAATGAATCAATACAAAGTCAAAATGTCATATCACGGATCATCCTAGAGCATTACAACCAACATAGGACACTTGCATTGCATCACACGTGTGCATTCCCGTTATATGATTGGCATGTTTGTTATATTTCGGCATCCTTGAATCATTATAGAATGATTCTAAACTCCCTGGTCAGTTATCATTGTGGGAACTATGATGAATTAAGACTAGCATGAGGTGTGATTGATGCATTGGATGCATATCACAATCATGGGTACTCGTTGTGAACGAGTGACTGGTTGACCCGCATGAGATTGTCACATGGACAGAGTCATGACTTGAATCTCATACAGCGGTTCGTTCTTGGATCCTCAGACCTGAGATGTCTAGAGTATCTGATATGAGGAGTGGCGTGTCTTGACTGCGTCAAACGTCGTCTTTAACCGGATGATCATAACGGCGTTGATCAGATACGTTCACGAATCATATGGAGATAATAGACATGCAATATGGGACTTATCACCTCCTCAATAGGAGAGATATCGCTGGGCCCTCTCGTGGAAGTCGGACTATGAAAATGCGTGGCCACGCTATAGATGAAGTTGCATCTATTTTATTAGTCGATTTGCCAAGACGAGAAAGCGGTTGAACTTGAAGGGTGGCTCAAACCATGCCCTTGTTCAACACATGATATCGTGAGATAAAGGATCAGAACTCGAGCTGTTATTGCCTTGGTTAGATCACCTCTAACTCAATTCTAAATGGGTGGTCATGGCGTCTTGCTAGAGGCTAACCATGACTTGTAGATCGGGAATGGTTCTCGAGGCTGCTGCCACTGCGAATGGGCCTACAGGGTCACACACCATTAGGGATGGACTTATATGTGAAGTTTCGGAAAGGAAGACTTGGATTTGGTCGGAAAAATCGTTTTCGGATCAAATCAGAGTGTCAGAACGTTTTCAGCCTTCTGACTCGGACCGAGTCAGTACTTGACTCGGACCGAGTCAGTTCCGTGCGAGTCGAAGCCCAGAAAGTGTTTTGGGCTTGGCTGATGTTTTGACTCGGTCGAGTCAAAGTTTTGACTCGGACCGAGTCAATACTAAATGGGCCGAGTCAAGAGTTGACAATGGGCTTGGGCTGATTCGTTCTGACTCGACCGAGTCAGAGTTCTGACTCGGACCGAGTCAAAATACTCGGAAAAAGTCTCTTTTCACAAGGATTAGGGTTCCTATCTTATAAGAAGGGTATTGGACGCCGTCCTCAACCTAAGACAGACGAAAAGAACCCTAAAACAGAGCAAAAACTCAGAAGAAATCGTTTCTTTCATAGTTCTAGCTCCCGGGATTAGATCCCACTTCATATACTTCACAGATCCTAGCAGATCAGTTCCAAAAACGTTTGGAATCCTTCCCGTCGGTGTGGATACGTGTAGAGGAGCTGTACTTTCAGCTCTTGGTGATTAAAACAGGCCCTGGATCGATCGCTACTTTCAGATCTTCAGGAAAGAGGTAAGTATTCGATTCCTACGGTGATATACACGATCTGTCGGGGTTTTACGGATGATTTTGGTTGCGTGTGACGTTTGACTAGGTTTAGATTATCCTTCCGCTGCATGAAACCTAGTAAACCAAACCCTAGATCGATATGATCGCATGCTAGGAACCCGTAGCGAAACCCAACAGTGGTATCAGAGCCTGGTTCTCTGTATATCGCCGTGCTTGTCGCATGCCTATATGAATTTTAATGGTTAAAATTGCATGATAGGCTTGATCTATGCATATTTAATGATGTTATGATTGTTATTTGATGCATGGATGAGTTTGGGGGTCGAAGACGGCTTGATGGTGCATCGAAACAGGGTGAAACCCTAGATCTCGTGGCCAAAAAGTGTCTACCAGAGTTTTGACTCGGCCAGAGTCAAGTGTTGACTCGACCGAGTCAGAACGAGAGATCTCCCAGAGTTTTGACCTAGATAGAGTCAGAGTTTTGACTCGGACAGAGTCAAGTGTTGATGTTGGGGTTCCCTTCGGGTTCCTAGCATGCGATCTCATCGATCTAGGGTTTGGTTTCTAGGTTTCATGCAGCGGAAGGAAAGATCTAAACCTAGCCAAACGTCACACAAAAACCAATTGTGCAATAACCCGAACAATCGTGTATATCGTCGTGGGATTCGAATACTTACCTCGTTCTTTCAAGATCTGGAAGTATCAATCGATCCAGGGCCTGTTTTAATCACCAAGAGTTGAAAGCACAACTCCTCTACACGTATCCACACCGGCGGGATGAATTCCAACGCT